TCTCCCTGTTCTTTCTAAGATTAAAAGAGTTTGTTATTGTTGCTCGTTTCGAGTGATGTGAAGGGGCAGTAGCTTTTAAGATTTTTGAGAAAGGTTGTCTAGTGGAACTTCCTATGATAATAATCGGAGTATTCTGTGTCTATACTGCCTGCCTGTCCCAGCTCTGGTACAACTGAGCAAGTGGAGTGTTCACTGTATTTCATTTTACTGAATTAAAATTGCAATAGGCACTATTATAGTGACTAGCGGCTCCTGTGTAGGACAGTGCAGCTTCAGCCGAGTGAGGTGGAGCCAAGGGGATAGTGAGTCACTGACTACCTGGGGGGAAGATGGCGAGACTGAAGTGTAAAGGACAGTTGGGTTATAGGGACCGTTGGACTGGGCAGAGGAATGGGGACGCCTTACTTCATCCCTGCCTGCTGCCCTTCTTCTCCCAACCTCCTTCGCCCAATGCCATGTTGTCTTGGAGGTATTTACCTGCTTTTCATTTCCCTTCCTCCCCTTCCCTTTTTTAGAACCCCCCCCCCAAACCCTAAACCCACTGCTTTCAAGTTGATTCTGTCCCACAGCCACCCTACATAGGGTTTGCGAGACTGTAAATCTTTACAGGAGGAACAGCTGCTGAGTTTGAACTACTGACCTTGCAGTTAACAGCCCAGTGCTTATCCTACAGTGTCCCCAGCACTCCTTTCCTGTTGATTTGCTGTTCTTGTTGTTAAGTGCCATGGAGTCGGTTCTGACTCATAGCAACCTTGTATAGGGTTTCCAGGGAGCAGCTGGTGAGTTTGAACCGCCGACCTTGGGGTTCAAACCGACTTGCAGTCCAGTGCTTATCCTACAGCACCACACCAGGACTCCTGTTGATAGCAGGTGTTTTTATGCTCAGGGAGAAGAGGGAGGACCTCCACTGTCAAGGAGGTGTCATGGATCCATCAGTTCTCAGCTACCATCTCAGGCCCAGGAAGCTCTGAACCCAGCAAGTAGGGTGACTAGGGTCCCTGACCTGCTGGGAGTCAGGGTGCTCATCACCAGGACCGTTATTTCTCTGACCAGCAGCTCCGGGGTTCTCGGTCCCGTAGTATCTCAGCCGTAGGATTTACAATGTCAGTTTCCACCCGCTATTGTACTCCCACAGCCGTGCCCCAAGTGGTGGTCTGGTTATCATGAGTTGTCATTGAGTCATCCCGGCAACCCCATAAACAGCAGAATGGAAAGCTGCCCAGAGCTACACCATCCTCACAGGTGTTGGTATGCTCGATTGTGGGGGCTGCCTGCACTTTGAGTGCCTTCCAGTCTTGAGGGTCACCTTCTAACTTTTGTGGGACCCGATGCCATCCTGGCAAATAGCACCAGCTGCTGTCCATGCCACTC